ACTGGAGGTCGTATTTCTACACTTCTAAATAAAATGGGCTATACAAATAATGCAATATAAATACATGCATACATAATTTATGAGAGGACCTATTCTATTTTGTAAAAGTACTCTGAAACGCAAAGATCGGGGGCCACGGCGCCACGGTGGCGCCGCGCAGATTTTCCCACAAGGCTTACATGCAATGTGGGGGGAGTGCGTTACTCAAACGGTTTACCGTTAAAACTTTCATAAATCGAATAAATAAACATTTACGTTCAACTTTTATTCCATATACAGTCTTTTCTATGTTATTGGGTGCAGGTTTCGGGTCCAAAAATTGAAGTGTTTAGTTTTCAATATACCAATCAGTCCTATATAAACAACTTAGGTGAGCCTTTCTAATCACATTATAACCGTTATAACGTTTAGAATTGAATATTTATGCGTTTACTCTCAACTTCTATCTCGTACCCCCATAACGTAATGAACTTAGCTATGTAAATTTTAATGCACTGGCAACTGGCAACTGGGGTTGCCGGAAGATTTCAACGCGTGTGTGCGATATTAGCCAATATAATGATCGTTCAAGAAATCAAAATTGATTGGTTAATTTGGCGCAAGAATTACTGTGTACACGAACAAAATCCGATTTTTTGAATATGTCAGGAGCGAGCGACTTTTGATTAATTGAAGAGGGGAAAAGGAGAAGAGTGAAGGGTATTTTGGAAGGCGTAGTTCAAATACTCTAAACCCTAAACCCTCTAGACCCTTTATCAAAACACTTGATATCCTCTCATAACTGTAAACCCATAGCCTTCTAAATTAACATGTGAACACAAGATTCACTTGTGCTTTTACCACAATCCATCATAATACTCAAGCATGCCCTATCACGCATTAGAATAGTTACCTTCCTTGACGTCGCTAAAGATGCATGGTGTGGTCCAGAGACAGTAGTGAGCTTGAAGGCTCGTGTGCAGAACTGAATAATGTCTGGTGCATCCTTGATAGTTCGGGTGTATGTGGGGTGATTTTGTTAGAGTGATGGAGGCATGGAAAAATGTTGTGTGTCTTATGATATTGGTTTATGCCTACAGCCGATTTGGTAAGTGTAGACCAAAAGAAGAAGAGCATAAAACATGTAGTAGTGTAGTGTAAGAGTATGATGGAATACATGGCGAAAAAGGAGATGTTGCGTCAGTGACCAGATGGTCTGACGGCAGGCAATGTCTAGCTATAGTTATATATGTCAAGGTTGTGGGATGATGAGTCCTCACAACCTTGCAATCTATTACACTACTTTGGTCATATAAAGTACAAACGTTGTTTCACTCTAAACCGCTCATGAACTAAATTTGTTACTCACAATCAAAGTATTAGCTGTACAAAGTAAGCTAGTGAAAAGGACATTTCAGCAACACTGTATTTTCAGAAATCCAGTGGACATCGATGGGATAACTTTTCGCAGCACCGTATGGAGACGGTGTTGAAGGTGAAAGAGTTGAGGACTTTTGCTAATGTGAAAGGAAAGGGTCGTAAGATTCGGTCTACTAAAGGCGATACCAATGCCTTAGAATAAATAAACGCGTAGATAAATTCTATATCGTGTAAATATCGATATAAATAAACGAAATGAGACGTTTGATAAAGTTAGGTTTGCCTCGTGAAAACAGCAATATTCTCTGAGGGATTGTGAGGCTGAGACATTGCCTATATATAATCCTCTCAGTACTGTTTCCGCCGAAGGGATTTTATTTAGTGTTTCGTTGTCGCTCTATTCTGGGGCGAATCCGAGAGACTCATAAAATCCTATCTTTAGAAATAAATAAATAAATACCCTTGACGTCTTTAGTTATTGTCTTAACCAATAACTTGCCACTATCAAGAATCACCGACTTAGCCTTCATCAGACTGGCACATCTGGTTGGCTTATCAGAGGATCAACTAGGTAACGTTAATAGTCCCTAGAAACCTATATTCGGTTGAGCCATCTCGCTACCGAAGTATTCATATATAAATAAAATTGGAAATTAAATAAAGCTCTATTAATAGAACTAGACCAACTCTTTTATGTTTGATATTTTACTGAGGCCTTTTAATGGCCTCATCCAAATATCTGATATGTTAAATGGAAAAGGTTAAATTAATAAAACCATTAAAAACCATTTTAGGAAACTTAAGTTCCTCGTGCTATTAAGAGCACATTTAGGAGACTTAAGTTTCTCGTACTATTAAGAGTACGTTTATAATTTGCGTACTGCTTAAGAGTATGTTTATACATAGAGTCTAATGTGGAGGCCCGGCTTATTACAGGATGAGAAGAAGTTGTTGGCACGAGCTAGGTGCTTAATGGAAAACGCCTACACCCAGCAAATTCAAAACAGAGCATTGGCCATGTTGGGCCCGGAGTTGATGCAGGTTGAAATGATTGAGTGGTACGCCCTGACACGAGAGGCAGCAATCTTGGAGCCTTGTCACCAATCACCAGCAACGCAGCTTAGGGAGAGGGCCGAGAGTATTGTGTTGGAGGACGACGAAGAATAGCCGTTTAAGATGGTTCGGGAGTTATCGGACTATGCCTTCATGAGCATCGTTGGGTGGAACCTGTTTGAGCTGATTGGGAGTCGTGCTTCTGCAGGGGAGGACCGTGATACTGATCCGTTGTATCCTTACTCGCTGGTGATGGGCGACAAGGTAGGCAGCGTAGCAACTGCAAGATGTGCCACAGCAGCAGCTGCAGCATTAGCAGCAGGTGACCCGAGAAGAGAGCTTCGGTAGGAGCTATTTGATGCCATGAAGGATTATTTTTTGGCTCAGAGGGAATCTGCTCGTGGGAGCCACAACTACTTGAATATTACTAGAAGATATGACAACATCAGAGTGGGCCTGGCAAAGATGACAAGTTTGCACAATAACTCAGGTATTTTGGCGGACTATATGAGTCAGGTGTCGAAATTTGGTACACTAGGCCGGTATGCCATAGGGCTGTGGCATGAATTTCCAGAGTTTATAAAATTTGTGAGAATTTCTCTGGACCAATTGCATGAGGCGATGCCGAGGTTTTTGGATACGCTTTTTGTGGAAGTGGCACTAGAGACTGCAGCGGCGCTGAGAATGCAGTACCGTCAGGGAGGTCTAACCTTTGTGGTAGGGCACTTTGACGTGCAAGAGAAGGTGTCTGCATCGCGTAGGCATGCAGCAAGAGGAGTACCGCCTCGAAGGGTGAAGGTCAATGGGTCGGTATACCAGAATGAAGGTGGCCAAGATAGAGTTGGGGTACAGGGAGATGAAGCATCTGCTGGGACCAAGCGAGGCTGTGAGGATGTTGATTTGGTAGCCAGTATTACCAGACTGGGTGATAGGTTTCAGAAGATAGACGATAAATTCGACAAGCTGTCCAAGAGGATCAAGTCACGTAGGCGTCGAGCAGGTGGTAAGCTGGACGACTATGAAGAGCGACGTGTGTGTTTTAACTGTAACACAAAAGGGCATGTCAGGGCTAACTGTGACAAACCTGCAGCCACAGAGGCTAAGAACTGACTAACGGGTTCTTCTTCAGAGGTAGGCTTCCTCATATTTATTTTTCACGACGGACCTTTGATTCAAATTTTCGCCTCGGAAACGTAAATCTCGGTGACCAGTAGGTCACCAGTGTAGAACTGAATACCACTTTAAAAAAACCCACAGACCCCACCAAAACGTTGACTTGAAATTTAGATTTTCAATCAAAATTTTATTTATTTATAATATATATATATAATTTTTTTTAATTTTAATTTTTAATATCCAGTAGGGAGTCTGGGGATCCCACAGTCCCACAGTCCCACATCCGCGAAAAATGTCGGGCAGGCCGAACCCCCAATTGAGACGTTCGGCCCCAACGACTCCTTACCCAATGACCAATGGAAATTGGACATACAAAAATCTATCACAAACCTCTCTGCCCAGGG